TGAAAGCTAAAAAAACGCTAAATTTGGTGCCCATGTTAAGTCAATGGGAAAAAATATTTTTTTGAAGTGAAAATTACTAAATATAGACTGAGTTCAGCTAAATATAATGAATGCTTTCTATAGAAGGGGACCTCAAAAGCCATCTAGCTTCAAAATTTGGACAACAAAATGCCAAGGTCAAAATCTAGGTCAAATTCATAGTTTTTCCTTATTTTTAAGATTCTGACACTACACTTTAATAATTTGCTTCAAAATTTTGTATACAGGTAGCCAAGAGTGTGCTTATAGTGTTAGCCTTTTGCCGTCAGAAAGTATTTCTACCCACTTTTGAGATATGGTGTCCAAAAAGTAGGTCAAAATGAAAAGTTCTAAAAATTTAATATATGAGCTATGAATTAAGGGTAGAATTTTCTCAGGAATCCAAATCTGCAAACCAAATTTCGATCCGACTTCCCGGTTGGAAGTTATGGGATTTTGAAAGCTCAAAAATTGCTAAATTTGGTGCCCCATGTTATGTCAATAGGGAAAAAGATTTTTTTGAAGTGTAAAATACCAGAAATAGACTGAGTACAGCTCAACATAATGAAAGCCTATAAAAGAAGGGGACCTCAAAGGCGACCTAGCTTCAAAATGTGGACACCAAAATGCCAAGGTCAAAATCTAGGTCAAATTCATAGTTTTTCCTTATTTTTGCGATTCTGACATTACACTTTAATAATTTGCTTCAAAATTTTATATACAGGTAGCAAAGAGTGTGCTAATAGTGTAAGCCTTTTGCTGTCAGAAAGTATTTTGACCCACTTTTAAGATATGGTGTCAGAAAAGTAGGTCAATATAAAAAGTTCTCCAAATTTAACTTAAGAGTTATGAATTAAGGGTAGAATTTTCTCAGGAATCCAAATCTGCAGATCAACTTTCAATCCGACTCCCGGTTTAGATTCTACACCATTTTAAAATTCAAATTTGCCAATATCCACAATGCAGATCCATCAAATATACCTTCAAAAATTCCTACTTACCTACCTACCTACATACCTACTTGGCTACCTACTTAGCTTCCTACTTCTCAGCTACCTACTCAGCTACTTACTCAATTACTTAATCATCTACGTACTCAGCTTCCTACTCAGTTACTTACTCAGCTCTTTACTCAAGAAAATCAATCTGGAGTCTTAAATTGAACTTTGTTCAATTTACCAATCTAGTTATTATTATTATTATATCTTGGTTACCGCCATATTTGGCGAGCAATACCTCATTGGTATATTCCGTATTTTACGTATTTTACACTCGAAGATAGAGCCAGAAACCCCTCCTTGGAGGAGCCCTGTGTTATTTTATGTGCACAGGTACACAGACATACAGGTACACACCACAGCCTTTTATACGAGTCGTGAACCACTCAGTCAAACACCCAGAATTACATAACGCACAAACAAACTTGTCTGAACCGGGAATCGAACCCGGGGCCAAGCAATATTGGTAACCTTGACTCTCTCTGCCACTGAGCCATAGCGGGTGGACTGGTCAGAATCCAAAACTGAATTTGCAGCGATTGAATGTTCAACTTTTCAGTTCAGAAAATATTCAAGTTTCTATTTTCGATGACCATTATCGGCTTCCAAGAGCTTTAAGAGCTTGAAATCACAATCCATTTCCTCCACATTTTCATTGTGATCGTATTTGGCCGCCAATTTGTACAATTTGTTCACTTAAATCGACTTAGACACTGTTTAAATTGTTGAATCGGGAAATATTTTTCAAAAGATCGCCATTTCTAGGTCAACAGGAAGTCACGTAAGGCACTGAATAAATCGTGAAATCTGATTGGATCATAAGAATGGCGCGAAAAAGTAAAGTTTTTAAAAGTTTAAACTCGGGTTGATAGATCCGCCGGCAGTCACTCAGGATAGTAAAGCATAGGTGGATACACTCGCCGGCAGCATGCTAAAGGTTAATGTATGGAAGTAGCTCGACATGAGCCAGACAAGGCAACCATTTTTGCCAATATTTTACAGAAAAAAGTCAATTCAGACATTTTTCATTTTAATTGAAACGGAGAAAATAAAATCTTAGGATTATTATTTCCCCATTAAATCAAATAAGCCTCGCTAATTTAAATTAGCTTTACCTAGTTTCCGGTCCTGGGTATGTCCCTGAAATACCACATGACTACAAACAGGAAGTGCTTCATAACATAAAAAATACAGTTCTTTTAATCATCGTAACAAAGGTCTTTTATTACTTTCTATCATGTAGGCTTGGTCCCAGAGACTAAAGCTCAGGTGGACTTTATTCCTGTAATTATGAACTACCTGGGAGAAAAATTTGACTATCACTCTTTTTGTGTACTATTCATCTTAAAATTTTGAAGAAACCACTTGATTGTCTAGTTTTTTTTATATAATTCACGAACTACAGTTTAATATCAATATGTATATACTTTATTTCATTTCAAATGGTACACTTTTCATTTTATTTTAAAATATGAAACATGACAGAAATGATATTTTACAAAAAGGTAAAAGTATCTTTTTTAACAGTTGATGGTTTCTGATGCCTAGGGAAATTACTTAGAACAGCCAATTTAAAGAAATGAAATTTGAGACACACTAAAGAGACTGTTCAATTAGTCAAGGTATTGTTTCATTTTTATTAGTATTACCTGATGTTAAATCAAGGGAATAGCAAATAAGCTTTTCTGTTGGGATATAATGAGAATATACAGATCACGCAATATAACTAACAATTTCTTTAATTTCAGTTGACATTCATATTTTCTAACACAAAGAGTAAATTCTTTTCTTTCCTGTTGTCTTGTGGCAATAGTTAAAGGTCGAGTGCCTGGAAATATTAACACAATTGAACATGTTGAACAACTAATATACATACTTTTTGTGGCTTGGTTGAATGGCTATTAATCCCAAGTTCCGATGTGTCTCATCAAGAAGACGACAGAGTGACAAAGATTATGTCAAGCGGAGTTTATAATTTTTTGTGCAAATTTTCTTCTTGGATCGAAAAATTTCATTTTAATTAGATTAAGTTACGATAGGTGCCAAAAGGCCTAAAAATAGGTCATGTGACACAAAACAACGAATCATATGACACAAAAACAATGATTCATTCGCCAGATGGCATAGTTAAATGAGGTCAATTTTACGACAAACAAAAACTGTTTAGCTCAGCTTCAACTTTGCTCTCGCAGTCGAATGAAACTGAAACTTCTTTCGTCGATATTGAGTCGAGTGATTTTTTTCAGCCTCCGGTATTTTGACAAAAGTAAGTTCAGGTCGTAGCCATTCTTCGGGGCAGGTTTGAGACACCAATGATTTATTTTGGAGTTTTTCTAAGGGATTATTCCAGACTTCCAGCTATTGTACCTTTAACATCATTAGACGCCAGCCACCATTTGTTACAGACATCAACCAACAAACACCAACTGCCAAAGACCATCCACAAAAAACTTGGAGAATATAACAATATTAGTCCACTTCTGATAGCCTGAATCTGACAGTAGACTTTTTTATTCCTCACTATTCTATACTTATATAATATAATCGAGGATTTTGATTTGAAGGCAGTGGGTGGCAACTTTGACCACCTGTGAAGCAAATCTGCCTGCCATTGCAGTAAATTACACAGTTTCCGTGTGCTAGTTGCGCAGCTTTTACCACCTCTGCCAACAAGAGCTAATAATATGATTGCATTAATATTTCAAAATCAACAAATAACTGCATCAGATATGCCTCAAAATGAAAGTCAGGCTAACATGATTCCACAAATGTCAGCTTGAGATGCCAATGTCAAAGAATGAAATGAGACAGAATCTGGTATGCATCCATTTAAAAAGCCGAACACAACCAGATCTAAATGTAAGAAAGGCATTGTTAGGGGAAGGGGAGATGTGACCAAACCATTCAATCACCCCATATACCTTTTCATATCACATTCTTGTATTAGACTCATAGATATTTATATCTTCTTTTTGTTTGGCTTCGTCCATTTAATTGTAGACATCCCTATTGGCCTTAATTCTTTCTATTTGTACAGGGATGCATGATGGAAACTGTCTACATAAGGCATCAGTAGCCACTTAAAAGTACCAATTAACAAGATAAAGCTAGCTTTGTGACTCATGGAAATGATACTATCCTTTCAGTATCCATAATTTGAAGATCTAATTGCCTTTACTTCAATAAAAGCCTTGGATTTCATTGCAACACTTCGTAAAATCCTCAATAAAGTTAAGCTGGGTTCAAAGATAGCTTGCCTTTCACAGCATCAGACTAAATAAGATAGTTGCTTTAAGTTCAAGAACTTAGTTCTATATCAACACCCTGTTCTCACTCACAGGTACCAACCACAGGAGTAAATAGGGCGAAGGGAAGGGAGTATGATACTTTTCACAAAACTAATATGTCAACAGAACAGAGTAATAATAGACTTTGATAAATGAAAAAGTTACACAAATTTGAGAGATTGTTACCTTAATAAATGAACAAATTACCTGAAATTTACTTGATGAATCAAGAAATAATGAAATACCCTTTATAAACGAAAAGACTACCCTATATATTAGCAGAGGCAAGTATTTCATTATTCAACATGAAGGTCAAGTGTTAGAATGAATTACTTGGTTGTAATATAATCTTTCCCTATATCTAACAGATATCAGTAATAGAGACATTCTGAGACATTCGAAGCCCCAAAAAGGGTTATAGGGGTTCAAAAATTTTATATTGTATATGGTACTTCAAACTAGAATTTGTTAATGTTTTTCAGCAATCCCATGAACCTCACCCACCACACTCCCCTATGGCTACATCCATGGTCTTAAAGAAACATTATGTGTACTTTTTGAAAATGAAACCCACTAATGCTCCCCCAGATCTGACAGTGCAATCTACAGTTCAATAACAAAAACTATTAAAGTATACCATCAACAATGCTAATGGTTTTTAGCTTGGATACAGGACTATCAATCAATTTAAACTCACCGCAGCAATCACCTCTGTTGTAGATTTCGACTCGGGATATGATAAATTTCTGCTCCAAGTCAACCATCCACCACGGATCCTCACCAGTGTCGCTTGTATGAGTACATGAGCCTTGATTAAAGTCTGGATCAGTGTTACCATCAACAGCTAGACCTGCAGGGCCCTTTCTGCTGTCTGGGCCCTCAGTTGACTGATTAGCTGGTTTGTTGGTTGATACTATGAACTGACCTGTTGTGCCTGAAATTAAAGGTATATTGTAAAGCATAATGGGAAATACAAATCCAAAATAATGGGGAATACAAATCCAAAATAATAATAGGGAATACAAAATGCAAATGAAGTTTTTCCGTAGCCATTACAAAAATTCAGTGTCACTTATTGTGGTGGTGACATAATTACTAAGTAAAATGATACAAAAACATGAAAGGACTATTTACCTCATTTCAAATATTATATCTCTTAAAAATCTGATTTTTCTGAATGGGTAGGCACCATATTGTTTCATGGAAACCAAAATTTCACCAAGGAAAACATTACACTGCTTAATCCTTGTGAGTGTCTGCTCTAAGAGTCATCACCCTCTTGACTTATATTCAAGATTTCTTTCCAAGAAAGGTAGTCTAGCTACAAGCATTTGTGTGCCCCCCCCTCCCACTACATATCTCCTCTGTGTGAGAAGTTTTCATACTTGTATAGTCAAGGGGGGGGGGGTTACATTTTTTTTCACTTAACAATAAATCTCTGAACTCATAGAGCCATTTAGAGTTCATCATCAAAATACAAACGACTTTCTGTATATGGTTATTTCCTCTAGCATCATTGCATAGTTAATGAGCACGCATTAAGCATGTGTCCTTCCAGCCCGCTGATTGGTTCAGAAAAGATCAGCGTGGTAGGTTTGTAATGATTTATGACCTGGACTGTCACGGGCATAGGTTGTTGGGGTGGGGCTACAAAAAGTAATATATAGTCTATACTAGGCAGAGGGTAGTTTATAAGACTCTGTGCACAGGGTAGCAGAGAAGGCTCTGGAACATTCTGATAATCATCACATTTGTCCAGATCATGAACAACATGATCTCATAACTGAACAAGAAATAAGATGAGATGGCTTATCATGATGTACTCAGATGGGGTCACCGCAACCCCAAATCAATACAGCTCCAATTTGAATGGTTGAGTTGCGCCAAGAATTTGACAGAGGTGACACAATCATTTTTTCACTTCACTTCATCTGACAAAAGTCAGGCCTCTGACAATTCATACCAAAGGAAGGGAGGCCTCTTAAGAAAAATACAAATCTAACATCAGGATGTCAACCAGAAAAGCTCCCTGGGAGTTCTTCGTATCAATAAAAGTGAAAATCAATATTTCTAATCTAATTTATTTAGAAGTTCTATCAATTATAGGACATTATTTGGCTATTTTCTCACTCAATTATAAAGCCTTGGTGTGAGAAGTTCAACTCAGAGTCTATAATAGTTTTCTAGTTTTGCATGGTACATGAAATTAATTACCCAAGGGTTAAAAGATAGACAGGATACATATCTCGCTGTTGTTTTCTGTTCTGCAGAATTCAAAATGTCATGATAATGTTCCTTTTAGGTTTATAAACGATCCCATTGTACAGATTATCATAAAGCTAATTCATAAAGGAGCTAGTCATTAATGCCTGGGTCACATATGCTCCAATCCATCGGCCGGCGCCTGCCCGATTGAGTGTTTTGTTCAATATTGTATTCAATTTTGAACAAAATACTCAATCGGCCGGGCGCCGTAGTAAAAATCGGAGCATATGTGACCAAGGCATAAGAGAAGTTTGAAGTTGGCGTCATCAAGGTAAATTGTATTGAAGGTGAAAAAAGTTATTGCAGCAGCACTCAAAGTCATGTTTAAGGTCAAATTTACATGGAGGCTACTTTAATCCATCCATTTATACGGCCTTTAAAGAATTATACTGGTAAACGAGTATAATATGATCTGTACTAATATGGTATCAAAACACAATATAATATTTTAATTATTTCTTGTTACAATATTACCAAGGGGATCAGAATTTTCTTAATTTCTTAATTTTCACATTCTTCTCTGCTAAAAATAAATAACAGAGAATCAAGAACAAGGTCAATGTTGTGAAAAAGGTCAAGGCCACAGGAAATATATATCACATATCGCATTACCTATCCTTTGAATAATGAACCAATTTTGATTTAAGCGCTCATTTCCTTAAATGTCAGTTACTTCTCTGATAATAATGTTAAAACAGTTAAATTAGATTTAGTAGAAGTTTCTACCTTAACATCTAAGGTCCTTTAATTGATGCTAAACACCATTATCTCCACCTACGGATATATTTACTATGTACTTTTAAATGATTTACTGTAAATTCAACATTTTAGAAGGGGTTTCCTCTTTATACAAAGATTTATCTGATACAATCAAAAACTGCCATTTCAATAAATCTAGTTTTCAAGCACAATTCTGATATATTTTCAATGTATCTTTGGATCAAAATATACCTCATACCTCACGCTACATATTGTATTAAAAACAGAGAAATCACCATAATCATTTTTGATTGGGTCATCAATGATCAGCTCAAGGAATGCCTTTCATGAAAATTTTCATAGACTTACAGAAATAAACAACGAAGAAAAAAGAATTGATGATCCATTTTATGATTCAAACAACTAATAATTTCAAAGATTTGCTGCTACATTCTATGTATATAGATCTACAGAACTCTTTCCTCCTCCTTTAGTCTTACCTCAAGACTCTGACCCCCCCTATCTACTTTACAACAGTTCTTCAAGTAGATGGAGGGGGTCCAGGGTCTTGATGCAAGACTACTCCCCCTTCAAAAAGAAAGAGAATCTGCGATTGGAGGATGGTGCTGCTATTGAAGTAATCTATAAAGATGATAGTTCAAAAATGTGATGAAAGCTCAACTGAACTTTCCTGGTGTTCGCAATATATCAAACAATAATTAGGATGCCTGATTTCTCAAGTGCCCAAATGTAATATACTGTAGTCATTTCTCAACTTCAAAGACTAGTTGGAGGAAATAAACATTACCTCTGTGTTAAATATCTTTTCACCTGAATACGCCTGGGGGGTACTTATGGCAAAGCGCTTTACATCTTGGAGTTCAAAGATTTACTTGTTGCTCAACAGTAACAGAGGTTTTTTCATTTCAAAAGCAGCACAGGTGATTTTATCCATGTCAAAATTCAAAATTAGTACCATGGGTACTGGGCTCACATGGTCACATTTTTTGCTGATTTTTTGTTACAAAATTATTTCAAGCCATCTGTCTCTCAGTCAATTAAAATGGCTGAAAAAAAAAACGGATATAATTTTTTGCCAATAATTTGTAACAAAATTATTTCATACAACTAATCTTTACAGTGACATGGCTTTTTGCAATGCAAGACACCTAAAATTATTTGTAAAGCTAGGAAATGGGCCAAAATTGAATTTCGCAAGACAAAAATGGCGACCATTTTGAAATCAGGCAAGCTTTTGAACCAGGAGTCATAGGGGAGTTTTTTGTATTGATGTTGAACAAAAATAACTTGAAACTGGAATCCTATTGACAGAGGTTTTAAGCAAATGGTCCAAAAGAGGATTTCCCGAGACAGATAGACAAATCAATGTTAACTAAAATGGCTGAAAATAAAAAAACGGATATAATATTTTGCTGATTATTTGTAACAAAATTATTTCATACAACTACCTTTTACAGTGACATGGCTTTTTACAATGCAGGACAGCTGAAATTATTTGTAAAGCTAGGAAATGGGCAAAAAGTGAATTTTGCGAAACAAGAATGGCAACCATTTTGAAAATAGGCGAGCTTTTGAACCAAGAGTCATAGGAGAGTTTTTTGTATTGATGTTGAACAAAATTAACTTAAAATGGGAATCCTATCGACAGAGGGTTTAAGGTAAATGGTCCAAAAGTGGATTTTGCGAGACAGATGGACAAATCAATGTTAACTAAAATGGCTGAAAATAAATAAATGGATATAATTTTTCGCTGATTTTTCGTAACAAAATTATTTCATACATCTACTCTTTACATTGACATGGATTTTTACAATGTAGGACACTTGAAATTATTTGTAAAGCTAGGAAATGGGTCAAAAGTGAATTTTGCGAGACAAAAATGGCAGCCATTTTGAAAATAGGCGAGCTTTTAAACCAGGAGTCATAGGTTAGTTTTCTGAATTGATGTTGAACAGAAATAACTTAAAACAGGAATCCTATCGACAGAGGTTTTAAAACGTGCCACAGAAAGTGGATTTCGCGAGTCAGATAGACAAATCAATGTTAACTAAAATGGCTGAAAATAAAAAAATGGATACAATTTTTCGCTGATTTTTTGTAACAAAATTATTTCATATATCTACCCTTTACATTGACATGGATTTTTACAATGTAGGACACCTGAAATTATTTGTAAAGCTAGGAAATGGGTCAAAAGTGAATTTCGCGAGACAAAAGTGACGGCCATTTTGAAAATAGCCAAGCTTTTGAACCAAGAGTCATAGGAGAGTTTTTTGTATTGATGTTGAACAAAAATAACTTAAAATGGGATTCCTATCGACAGAGGGTTAAAGGTAAATGGTCCAAAAGTGAATTTTGCGAGACAGATGGACAAATCAATGTTAACTAAAATGGCTGAAAATAAATAAATGGATATAATTTTTCGCTGATTTTTCATAACAAAATTATTTCATACATCTACTCTTTACTTTGCAATGGACTTCTACAATGTAGGACACTTGAAATTATTTGTAAGGCTAGGAAATGGGTCAAAAGTGAATTTCGCGAGACAAAAATGGCGGCCATTTTGAAAATAGGCGAGCTTTTGAACCAGGAGTCATAGGGGAGTTTTCTGAATTCATGTTGAACAGAAATAACTTAAAACAGGAATCCTATCGACAGAGGTTTTAAAACGTGCCACTGTTATTGACAGAAAGTGGATTTCGCGAGTCAGATAGACAAATCAATGTTAACTAAAATGGCTGAAAATAAAAAAATGGATACAATTTTTCGCTGATTTTTTGTAACAAAATTATTTCATATATCTAATCTTTACATTGACATGGATTTTTACAATGTAGGACACCTGAAATTATTTGTAAAGCTAGGAAATGAGCCAAAAGTGAATTTCGCGAGACAAAAGTGACGGCCATTTTGAAAATAGGCGAGCTTTTGAACCAGGAGTCATAG